AGTAACATCCTGTGAACAAATAGGACCGTACAATTCTGTCTTTAACTTTTTACAAATAATAATATCTGATTGGCTGAGTGAGGGCCGTCCACTCTTTTTCACAGCTGCATGATCTAAAGATGTGACAAAAATAGAGTTTAGAACGAAACAGTGTTGCGAGCGAGGAACGAGGTGGACGTGGATTTTAGATATTTTATTCCAGTTAATAAGGTTAATAAAATAAGGCTTGAAGGCTTCCAAAGAATTCAGATTCAACCTGTTTCTACTATAAAAACCAAAAGTAGCATGTTACTACAAATGGATCCGAGCGTTACCGGAGTCTGTTGCAGTACTAACAAAGTAAAGATAAGTGCCAAGAAGCAGAGGGGGTGCCAAAAGAACCACTCAAACAAAATGCTGAGCCATACAGAAGCCAAGGAAGAAAGAGTAAAGATAGTATTTTGTAATATTGAGAACATTTGAGAAATAGTTTGGTTTTGATGGGTGTATACAATTACATGTTGTCCCTTCTAAATATTGCAGAGCCTTTTTGCACTTTGTCCTCCTCTACGTGCTCCTGTTTGACTGGTTGATGTCACCCATGTAGACTGAGCTATTTCGATGAATATTGCAGAATTCTGTGTAAAAAAAAAAAAAGCAAAATAGCAATGCAGGCAATATTCTTTTATGGAGATGCCATTGTCCTCATGTTTTTATATGAAATTATTGTTATGTATTGACTAAATTCAATTGACGTAAATAAATTGAATTAGTTTGCATTATCTTTATTTTCTCAGATGTTTGATCTCTGCTATCTGCTGAGAGATCACTTTGTTCTATCAGTGTGCGGGCGGAGTGGGACTGGAGTGACTGTAATCCAAAGTAAACTCCAGAGCAGCAGCACATTCAGCTTCACGGAGCAATGTCCCCCCCTACGGGCACCAGCCGGAAACAGTCCACAAGCCACAAACATTTGCTCATATATCATTTGTGCTCTCGGAAATGAGAAATTACAGTCCATTCTTTTTTGAGTAGTAGGAGAACCAATAAGACATATTTGTTTTATGTTTTTTAACCCCTAGTTTTTGTCTTATTCTAGACCTTTAGCAAATGTAAAACTAAAGTGATAGAGGTAGATTTCAATTCCAAGCTTCAAGTAGATATAGTGACTCAAAAAATGATCAACCAAACTGTTAAAGGGTTAAGGTATGGCTGTGAACAAGTACAAATAAGTAATCTATCAATGTAGTTGCATAGCTATAATAATAATGCATTTAAAAAAAAAAAATTGACACTCAAATCCGGATCGCATGTCCTTATTCTTTCACTCCATAAACCGTGGTGATAAACTACTGTAGCCACATCTGCCTGGGGGCACACTGACAGAAGCGAGGCAGACAGTACATGCCCCCACCATCCATTCATGCACACAACAGGCAGCATGGACAGCAAGAGGTCTCCCATCACAGTATTAACCAGGAACTGCCCATCTTAGTTTGAAAGAATCTGGCTTCCACATGCAGGTGGTGCCGGCTACTTCCAGAAACTATTGATTATGGAGTGAAAATGTATTTTAATGGGTGCGCGCAAAAACAGTCTCAAGCCAAGGACACACAATGTTATCATATTCAGACTTGGCTGAAAAATACTTATATGAATGTAGTTTGTAGATACGGTTGGTCAGTCTGAATGTAACCTGTTAAACTTATTGGCAAGAACGAACATAAATAAGACATTATTCTCACTAATACATATTTATTATATTGATCTGTATTTATATCTCTACAGAAAAGTGTCCTGTACCTTACATATATGTGAAATATTGTAATCCTGCGCATGTATCATTCACAAAAATGCAGACATTATGACTTTTTTAAATTCTTTCATACACAAAGCTTGCGTGGAGTTGCAGAATCAAATGTGTGTTATTAATCTATGAAACACACAGGCCGTGAAATAATCAAGAAACCAGGAGAATATGTTTAGTTTTAAGCAGAGTCTACTCATCTCTAAAACTATAGCTAAAGGATCTTTCTGAGCAAACTGTTGAATTATTCCTGCCCATTTTTGCTGTAAAGCACCAAACTGTTGTTGTGTCCTCAGGCGTCTTTAAGTCTACAGAAAATAACTTTACAAAACTCATTTTTATTATTAATAGTTTGGCTGTAGCAGAACTTACAACAACAGAAAAATTCATTTTCTACTGAGACAAAGATAAGACTTTTGGTGCTAATATATAATGTTAAGTCTTTTGGATTAGACAAAGTTATCATGTGCACAAACCTTTGGACACAATCCTTCTCTGGGTGCTTTGAAAATAGCTTTATCTTAAATCTTTTTCACTGGTTCATGATCACATCTCTCCCTTCTCTCCCTCTCTCTCATCTGTTTTCTGACCTGACCCAGTTGGAAGTGCCTTGAGCAGAGCCACAATAATTACCCTGCACCATATACTAACAACACAAAACATTTGATCAAAGTCTTCCATAAAATATAGTTCTGAAGTTATAGTGGAGCACGTTTGCGTTTGTCTAGTTTCTATTATTTAAAACAAAATGGATATTGTCTTGTCCCATGTACAGTAATTATCTTTGTTGATTCAACCATAATGAGTTAGTTTCAATAATAACAATAATAATAATGAAAATTAGGGCGACAGTAGCTCAGTTGGTAGAGCATTGGCCTTTGGGCCTGAAGGTCGTGGGTTCAAGCCCACCATAAGACCTACTTCACGACTCCCACTGATGACTGCTGTCGTTGTGTCCTTGGGCAAGACACTAAACCCCACTTTGCCTGAAGCTCCCGCTGAAAGATCTCAGCTCCTGTGGACTCACCACCTGCAGGAGGACCAGTGAGGGGCTGGTGCTATGTGTACTGGGTGCAGCTCTGACTGCCACCCCCCCGACCCAGAAATGGATTAAGGGGAAGAAAATGGATGGATGGATAATGAAAATTATAATAAAAAGCTCTTGATAATCAACCTAGAATATACTAAATAAAAAAGGAAATATAAATAAAAAGTAAAAACTGCAGATTTCAGATACCATAAGATAAGATTTATTTGTATTCGTCCCACAGTGGGGAATTTCAGCGTCATTATTGCGCACATTACAGCAGAGAAAAAGGCGGAAATAATAGCGCTCAGATTGCACACATCAAACAGTCTATTTTTTAATAGACAGTAGAATTCAAATAATAAAATGATTAAATAAAATAAAATAAAATAAACAGGGGCGACAGTAGCTCAGTTGGTAGAGCATTGGCCTTTGGGCCTGAAGGTCGTGGGTTCAAGCCCACCGTAAGACCTGCTTCACGACTCCCACTGATGACTGCTGCCGTTGTGTCCTTGGGCAAGACACTTAACCCTACTTTGCCCAAAGCCCCAACTGAAAGATCTCAGCTCCTGTGGACTCACCACCTGCAGGAGGATCAGTGAGGGGCAGGTGCTCTGTGGACTGGGTGCAGCTCTGACTGCCACCGCCCCGACCCAGAAATGGATAAAGGGGACGAAAATGGATGGATGGAAAATAAAATAAACTCTGGAGCTATAATCACGCCTGGTTCAGAAGTATTTACAGATTTGTCTATATTGTACTTTAGCAGCAGAGATTATGACCAGAATAAACGATAGTGACAATATCAGCAGGTAAAGTGACTACTGTGGAGGGGAGCCAAGGTCTGTGCAAATTAAGTCCAAATTAAGTCTTTTGGCAACATACAAACTAACTTCTCACACTGTTTATTCTTAAAAACATGTCATATTTTTGAGGCTGTAAAATGAATAGCAGATCATTTCCCTGACACGATTTTAGCCCTTCACAGTTTGGGAGGCGTGATCAACAATTCTCATTTGTGATTATGTCTGTTGTTATGTCTGTGGGGTGAAAGGTTTGTCTCTGATGTTGTCATTTTTTGTACAACTGAAAATACAGGTGTAACTTTGTCGCTCTAAAAGTGTTTGCCGGAAACTGCTGCTGTTCCTTGGCTGCATTACAATTGTTATACCTTCTTCCTAATCCTTCCTTGTCCTCATTGACCTCTTATGGGACAAAGTTGGTCCAGGTTTGGTCAAGTGAAATGAAATCCCCTTTTGAAGAAGTGTTGATGCTAAATGTATCATTGATTCCTAACGTTTTTAACATGAGGACAAAGTACAGGGAAGGTAGGCGGCGTATTTGTTGAAACTGGATGTAGCCATATCCTTATTCCTTCTTACAAGAATCGTGAGTAAAGTGTGTGCTCTCTGCGTGCTGACTGTGAGACTGAAAATATCTTATGTCTGTGGTCTGTGCCTTGACTTAAAATCCTACGAGAGAATATCAATCCTGTAGCCTCCTGAACTGCTGGCCATCTCCTCAACCGTCACTGGTCTTAGATCCCGAAGCATGGTACTTTTTATGCATATATTCTGTATAAAATCAAGTTACATGTGAGCAGCACCTTGTTCATCTGTGTTATTTCTAAGGTTTTTTTTTTTTTTTTAAGAATAAAGAATCCACTGAAGGAATGCTAACTTTTTGAATAATGCTATAATGAAGCTTTCAGCATTTTACTTTGGACCAGAGCAGAGAAAATGGTCCGAACCGAGCGGCTGCAAAACCTCTGCTGCTGTGACCTAAAGTTCTGTTGCATTTTATTATTGCTATTGTTATCTTTTTAAAATCATAATTTTACTTGTTTTGTTTGTGTGGATGGATGTGTTTTTGCTGCGACTGGACACCTGAATTGCTCCTACAGGGATCCATATAGTATCTATCTATCTATCAAAAACAAGACAATTATGTTCAGCAAAGTTATGAAGAAGAAGAGAGGCGGTAGAAGCCTCTCTCAGCTTTCATCAAGTACATGCATTGCAAACGTCAACAATAAATTCCGTATTTAAGCAAATTTAATGGTAAAATCAGGCAAATGGTCTGGAAAACATCATCACTCCTCCTTTCACCACAGCCGTTTCATCTACTGTAGTTTTGAACACATTCTGTCAATTTCCCGTATAATCCCCTTTTCCAGCTCTGTCCCTTTCACACGTTGACACCTTCTCCCCCGCTGCTTCTGTCTGTCCTCTCCTCCGACTCGCTGTTGTTCCTCAGAGATTTGGTCCATGCGCCGCTGTAGGAGCTAATCCCTCCAGCTGTCCCAAACAGGCTGGATAAAGACATCACAGGCAGAGCGATGGAGCCACAGGACCCAGCATCAGCTCTCAGAATGATGGACAGTGCGGGCGCCATGTCTGACTGTACCAAAGCGCATTAATCCTTTCAATATCTTACTGTTGTTTTATAAGAAATCTACACTGAAAAAAAAAAAACATGAGGTGATAATGGCTCGGATCGACTGTTTTTAATCTTAATTTTAACACATTCTGACATGATTTGCCAATGGGATGAGGTATTTAGTCTTATTTCAAGAACTGTTGCTTTATTTTCTCATTCCAAGGGAGAAATTTCTTGTGTATTTTAAAACAAATAATTTTGGCTTCTTCCGTTGGCAAATCTTTCACTAAGGCAGTCAAAATTTGCTCAAATTAAGGTGCATTTTGCCAAATCTGAGCAACTGACTTTTTGCAGTGTATTCAACTGAGATTTATTCATCTCCTTGAAAAAAAGTCACTATTGCACACATTAAGGTACATTTGATTTGTAATAAATGCATCTGATGATGGCATGTGGAAACTATAGAGATAGATGTTATTTTAATGTACTGCATCTTGGATTTTATTAGGAACCTTTGAAGAATTTTGCCTTTGACAACGTCCAGAAATACTATTTTTCACACATTCCAAGCTTTCTAATTACTCGCCACAAAGAGTGTATGATTTTAAAAACTGCTTTTACAAAAAATCAAGAACAAAAACAAAAGTTAAAAATATATTGTTCTCTCATCAACAAAAAGCTCATTAACACTGAAATAGCAAAAAAAAAACTGCTAGCTTAAAGCTGCACTTTGGGATTTTGAAGCCGCGGACTCGCTGGCCTCTCTCTTTCTGCTCCCCTCCCCGCACCCACGAAGCTATCGCCCCCCACACACACCCACTGTTGTTGACGGAGCTAGCGTCTCCCAATATGGATAATACACGAATATGGATTTGCACGTGGATGGCGTGACCATAGAACGATAGAACCGGGAAGCGCGGAGGAACGGGACTTTCTTTTGGATGGCTGTTTCGCTGTGTAAGCAGTAACCGGTGACGAAGACACATGAAGCTTCAGGTTAGCTCCGCCGCTTGTTGTGCTAACTCAGCTGTCTGTGCTAACGGACCTGTAGATTTCTCACGAAAGTGGGGGCTAGTGGTCCGCTGCGATTGGTCACAATCCGCGACCCGAAACACATTCTCTTCCTTGTTTCATCAAAACTCGATCTAAAATATAATGTCACGCCAGCACAAACCTGCACTACTTTTTCTTCAAAATGATGTATATCCCAATGCCCTACACGGACATGGATAGCATTTTCGTAATGAATACAAAAATAAAGTCAGTTAGTGCAGCTTTAACTTCTGACAGAAAGCAGTGCGTCGCTATGGTAACTAGCACTTTGTGTTCTCTGGTGGAAAATGAATTAAAGGTAGCATGGGAATAAACTACGTAAAGTCACAAAGTTATGACGATAAGATAGACTTTATTGATCTCTCAATGGAGAAATGCAAAAGACAGGAAGTGTGCAAACTGGGAATATGCAACATGTAAAAAAGTGCAAAAATGTGTCTCTTTTGTGCAAGATATATTATTATGTACAGTTCAATTACAAGTGCCTACAGCAGTGTGAGCTTACAAGAGAAAGGATACACATGACATCAGTAATCACACCTCCAAAAACTAAAATCCGTCAAATTAACTGCTCTGGGAGTTCTGGTGTTAAAATAATTCTGTACAAAATTAGCACAAATCTTCTCCAATCCCCCCACACGCTGCCACCGCTGGTCCATCCACCTCTCCCTCCTCCTGGATTTACCTCCTGCAGTGAGGAGATAGTTCCAGGGGTCTGCAGATTAGAGTGTTTGGTGTACAGGCAGATTGGCAGAGATGAGGTCCGGACTATACTCTGAAACGCTCTTAGAAGATACTAAAAAAACACTTAGAAAAGCCTCCAGGAAGCTCCCCTCCATCTGCTGACAGTCGCGGCCAGATTACGGCTCTTCACTTTGGAGCGGAGCGGCGCTGGAGCTGGCACACGCCGTTGGATTGGCGAGAGCATGCGGGGAGAGAAGTTTTCCAAAGATTCCACATCTGCTCACGCTGTTCGGTTCTAATTGGAGTAAACTTTCGAAGCTGAGAGATATTGGATAAATCTAAGCACTCAGCCCGGCTCAAAGTGAGTTATTTTGTCGATTTGTGGTTCACTGGTTTTCGAGTGTTTGCCAGGTTTGAGTATTGACTGGTTTTAAATTGTGTAATGGAGCAGACTTTGAATTGTGTTTCATGGTTCCTTCATCATAAACATATTGAGCTGTATTTAAATCCATTCATGCGTATTTAGGTAATCTTCTGCACAAACTGATGTCCTCTCAAGCCTCAAAGAACACAACATTTTCCACAACTGTGAGAGAAAGGAGGTGAATCTTCAGGGATTTCCAGCGCTGTCTAAACATCTACTCAAAATAAATAATAGTTTTACTCAACAACGTGGCTAAAATCTTAAAAGAAAGCTAAATTATCCTCTCCAAAAACTATATTGAGACTACTCCAGATTATTCCAGAACTTTTATTAGTTATTCATTTTAAAGATACAGTCGGTGATTTTTTCCAGATGCAATTTTTTAAATACAGTGGGATAACGTCCTTAAATCCTAAAAGTAATCCATTAATCATGTGTTTTGAAATTGCAATGGAACTGACCAGTCTCCAAAAATTAAATTTTTAAATTTTTCTTTCACCCTCTGTCTTGCGAGTGTGCGCACCTGAGTTATCGGATTATTTTCTAAAACATTGAATGGCTGAACAGAAAGGGCCAATTTCACGTTTTCCACCCACTCTCCCTGTTGTGACAAAGAAAAGAAATGCTGGATGTTTGGTTTGGTGGAGAGGCGAGGGGAGGAGTGGTTTTGAGTTGGTGCTATGGCTAAGCTAACAACATCGCTAACTGCATCTTTAATTTAAAAATCTTTAATAATCTTTTATGTTTTACATTTGGTTTGAATATATTTGATATAAAAACCTGAGAAATGTCTCCTGTTTCAGTCCTATATGTGATGTAACTGCACCACTATGACATCACACTCAGAGAGGTTTGATGCCTTTAAAAACAAAACTATTTCACAGCTGAAAATACATTCTTTACAAACAGCCGGTCATTTGCAAATTCAAAAGAAAAACAAAGCTGCTCCTCCCCCTGGTGGAAACATAGAGAGTTACAGCCAGAAAGAATTTTGTAGCTTGTTTTTTTTTTGTTACATCCAATAATCTGAATATGGACAAATTCATGCAGCTGAAAGAGAATATATCAATGGCTCAAAGCGTACAAGGCAAGGCAAGTTTGTATTTTTGTATAGCACAATTCATACACAAGGCAACTCAAAGTGTTGGACAAAACATGATAGAGAAAATCACACAAATTCAATTCAATTCAATTCAACTTTATTCCGGACTCATAGTCCAATAAAATAAAATGTAAAAAATCAAAATAAAGGACAAGACAAACAATTAAAATGGCATAATATTCACAGTACATTAAAAAAGAAAAATAAACATATACAATCCCTCAAATCCAGCAGCTAAACAGAACTGTTTTTAACCTGGATTAAGCATTGTAAGAGAAGAGGCCTGTCTCACATTCTCAGGAAGATTGTTTCATGAAAACCAGTCAGAATAATAATTGATGATACACCAATTGAAAAAGTCAAACAAAATGCTTTCTTAGGAGTTATAATAGATGAAAAAATCAATTGGAAACCCCACATAAGTGACCTGAGAACAAAGGTTGCTAAATGTGTTGGAATGATGAAGCGAGCGAGTCCTTCACTGAACACAAATGCCCTACTCTTGTTGTATCATTCATTTTTTTTATGTCATATTTATTTTATTGTATTGAAGTTTGGGGAAACTGTTACAAGTCTCACTTACAGCCTTTAGTCACTTTGCAAAAGAAGGCTATTAGGATTGTATCAAATGTTCACTATAGACATCATACACACCCATTATTTTTAGACTTGGGACAACTTAAACTTCAAGACTTGATTCAATTTAAAACTGCTCAAATAATGTTCAGGGCATCGCAAAACTCTCTCCCACCGAGTTTGCAAACGCTGTTGATAGAGATGCTCACCATCAGTATAGACTAAGAGGAAACAAACAACTGTACTTACCTAAATTTAGAACGACTTTAAAATCAATGTGTATCTCCGTGTGTGGTTACTCTGTGGAACAGTCTATCTGATGAAATTAAAACGTGTTCAAACTTGATTCAATTTAAAAGAGTGTATACAAAAGAAATAGTAAAGAAATACAAAGAGGAAAGAGAGTGATGCCCTCAGGTGTATGGTCGGGGTGTGTGTGTGTGTGTGTGTGTGTGTGTGTGATTTGTCATGTCTTATAACATTGGTGGTAGTTACTGTATTGTTGTTACTGTATGTACTTTACAGTAAACATTAGTATAATGTGATTGTGCATTTACCCATGGTGTTGTTTCTGTCTTATTGTTTGTCCTGTGTCTGGGTGAGGGGAGTTTGGATTAATATAAGCTTTTTGCTTCCTCCAACTCCTTTTCAATCCCTGTACGTGTTTTTGCTTTTGTTTTCTTGTTTCCTGTCAAATTATGTGTGCAGGTTTTGAAATAAATATTTCATTCATTCATTCATTCACACAGGTTTGGTACAACTCATCATTGCCAATTAACAATAACATGCCTTTTCATAACTCTCTTTCCACACAGCTCTTTCACCAGTCTTTTTTACACATGCTTTTTCGATCTCTAAACCTAGAAATACAATAAACTTTGACATTGCTGTACGCTAAAACTTGATGCTAACAAGCAACCGAGAATGTAGCACCTTTTAAAATATTGAATCCGTCCATAATCATATTCTGCAGCGAGGAAAGATTCTTGCCGCACCCTATTACCTGATCCACACATGCAGGAGGGGCGCGCACAGACAGAATTTTGATTTCCAAAATGAAATATTGATTGTCAGATGAATATTTGATGATGCGACAACTTGGTGTGGTTTGGGAATGTGCTGATCATGTTCAATAACGCTGGATTTCTGAAACCTTCACCTTGAATAGTAAAGATCTGTGCAACAGCAGCGACGAGGAAAGTGGCCGCAATTAAAGACATTTGACATTTGCGGGTCAATACCTGAGCTCTGAAGCCAATTAGGTCATGGAACTATGGATGGGGGACTGTTGGGATTACCAGGTGACACATGTGGGAGATGTGTCCTTAGTAAGGCCATGATTAACGAATATTTTGATAATCGATCAGTTGCCCGATTATTGCTTTGAATGATTGTTTTTAGTTGTTGGTATAGTATGGTATGTATTTTTATTTTTACAGGGACAGTGTACAATAAACATTAGCCAAAAGGAGAGATGCTTTGTACCAGGTTGTAGCCGCAGTGCTAATTTACACCTGTGTTTCGATCAAGTCAGTGAATATGGAAGTTTCTATACATTGGTGGCACTCTCAGGTCCTCCAGCTCCAATAGTCGTGACCAAACCGAGCATCATCCCCGGGTGCTGTTCCAGGCGATCACTCCTGACAGCCTAGACATTGCAGGATGGATCAAATGCAGAGGACAAATTGGCTTTTGGGGATAAATAAAGTGTAATTTAGCTTAGCCTTGATCAAAACAAAGCTCTAGTGAGACCCGTGAAGAATGTGTTTATAGATATGACTCATTTATATTTTATTGAAAACCTTTTGTAAACAAATGTTATTACATCGATTGCTACATTAGTTGACAAATATTTCAGTAATCTCTTTGTCACAGCCCTAGTCCTTGGCCAGATAAGAGAGTGAGCACTAAATTATGGTGTTTGTTTGGGAGTCAGTGAATAGAAATCTGGAAAGAAACTCTTTAGGATCAATTCATTCAATATATACTTGGCATTTAAGATCTGTCATGGTTAATATGTATATATGTTTCCGTATTTCATACTTGGTCATGATTTTAAAGTTATCATACTGGGACTCTGAAGAGCACAGGGACTGGCCTCCTGCTGGGACTCTGAAGAGCACAGGGACGGGCCTCCTGCTGGGACTCTGAGGAGCACAGGGACTCGCCTCCTGCTGGGACTCTGAGGAGCACAGGGACTGGCCTCCTGCTGGGACTCTGAGGAGCACAGGGACTTGCCTCCTACTGGGACTCTGAGGAGCACAGGGACTGTCCTCCTGCTGGGACTCTGAGGAGCACAGGGACTTGCCTCCTGCTGGGACTCTGAGGAGCACAGGGACTGGCCTCCATACTGAGACTCGGAGGACCACATGGACTGGGCAGCTTATCAGATTCATGCAGCTAAAATCTGAAACCTTTTCTGGATTCTCTATTTACTATTTATTCTAAGAAGATAATAACAGTACCGGTACTTTGTTGAAATCATCAATAAGAGAAAACAAGTGACACACACACACTCGCACTGACTACTCTTACCTTTCATTAGAGCAGATTTAATTAACACTATCTTAATTGAAAGCACACTTTGTCGTGAGAAAAAGCACTGAGCTGGAAAAGACAGAGTGAGAACAGGCAGAGGACAAATCAGCTAATTTGGAAGCTGCTTTAATTAAATGGACTCATTTCAATTCTGGGGGAATATGAAGTCTGCTATTAAGCATCCTTTTAGGGTAACACCGAACGAGCTGAAAGTCCAAAGTGACGGCATTCTCGGTGTGAAATTATGGAATGGACTAAAAGATCAGTGAAAAGCCTCCCAACTTCACTTCAGAAGTATTACTAATGAATTAAATAAATAATGAAAATAATAATAACTATGCACCAGTTTAATGTAGTGCTTTTCTGGGAACTCAAAGACGCTTCACTTGTTATTAATCTGTCTCTCCATACACAGTGGTGATAAACTACTATTGTAGCCACAGCTGCCCTGGGGCACGCTGACGGAAGCGATACCACCACCCTCTATTCACACACACACCGGACTCATTCTAGGCAATGTGGGTGAAGTGTCATGCCTAACGACACAAAAAAAAGCAAGGCACTTTATAGCTGCAGCTGCCCCTGTGGCACCTGGTGTTTACAG